CCCTCCCACTGATTCATTTGCATGTGATGGGAATACATTCTCATACAAAGACCGTACAACATGTCATTGTCAATAGAGGTTACAATGAGCTGATGAAGGACGGAAGCGAAAAGAGAATATGGTAAGATTTGTATTGTGTGTCCCCCTAGGGCTGCTCACTGAGAATGCATTTTGCAGGCAAGGCTTTGTCATGGGGGGATAGTTGGAAGTAGGGAGGGGGGGGGGGCGGTTACAACATCATCCTGCCAAGGCTCTGACAGGCAGCAGCCCCACGGGGTCAGTCGGCAGCACGTTTCTGGAGCATCACCATCAGTCTCCTTCCCCAGCCTCACTGTGCTTGTTCGTATTAGTTAGAGAATCAGAAAGGACTGTGTGTGGCTGAGTACTCATAGCAAATATCCTGGTGTGTATATAAGTCTGTGGAAAGATCTGCGTGTCTTTTCTTGCATATATGCAGTATGCATGTCAGCCATTGTTAATTTCATTGATGTGTAAGTCTGTGTGGAGAAGCATGCGGAAGCTTTTCAGTGTGAGGCATCTCGGTGAGTCACTGCTCTCATATATCCGGACTCCGCACTCTACCCCGTATTGACTCTCTCTCCCCTACCCGGTCGGTTCTGCAGCAGCAGGAGCGTGTTCAGTAGAGCCAGACCTTTGTCCACATCATAATCGTTGTCGTCATTTTCTCTCCTCCTCAGTTACAGCTCATCACGTTACTGGCTCCGTTTGAATATATGAATGAATTAACCTAAATGCTGAGGTAGGAGTTATGCAGTCAGTTTGAAATAATGCAAGAGGAGACGGAGAAGCTGAGTATGGATGTTGCTTTATTTAGATGTATGTATGCAGCTAGAACATTGAAAGATTCCTGCTGTTGTTGAACATGGGTCATAGCTGATGGCCACTCAGTGGACCCACAAAGCATGTAATGCTATCTTGCCCTCACTATAAAGATGTATTGGAGAGACCTATTCATCCAGCTAATGCCTTTGTGCATCTGTTCTTTCATCAATCAGCAGCTTTGTACTTTAGTGGGTGATTCCCCTGGACACGGTGCCCAGCCTCGCTTGCCTCAAAGAGCTCATCCCAGATGGGAAATGCAGCGCGGCCGTGAGCTTGCTACCTGTCCGATACTTGTTCCATTCATCTGAGCCAGCGGCTGATCAATAGCTGATCTAATAGAACATTGAAAGCCCAGGGCTCAGTGAAAGGCAGGACTGTTGACAGTAAGGAGTAGACAGCCTGTGAACCATGGTGAGAGGGAGAGACCACAGAGAGTCCCGGGGGCGGGGCGGTGCAAGATGGATTTTCTCCCAGCTAAAGGGGTGTTCAGGCAATGAAGGATGTTAGGGCGGGCGTGGCATCGCAAGGTCAGAGTTACTTGTTTTTTACTGTGAGTGCTGGTGCAATAGAGGTGAAGTTGGGGAATAACAACATCACTGCTATGTAGGATAGGCTTAGAGATGTGTTACTAAAATAAAGGAATTGAAAGTGCGCTATCTTTTTATATATTTGTAGTGCAAATAGTTTCATTTAGATTCTAAAAACACCCTTCCCTTCTCTTCTCATAGCCTGTCAATGATTCCTTGAATGTTCAAAGAATCTGCTGTAGATGTTGTTGGTTTTGGTGACGGTTTACATTTTGTTCCTTCCCTTCACTCCCCATGTTTCCAACTTGGAAAAGCACCACACTGATTCGCCCCTTCTCTTTCGCAGGACCCAAACACACACCCATTTAGAGCTGGTTGGCTAACAGACCCATAGCAATAAAAACAGAGCTTAGTGTCTGCGACCCTGAATACCCCCTCTACTGCGATGTCATCACAATCCAGCCCACGCCTACTAATGCTCAGCCAAAACACAGACTGACTGAGTTTTGCAGCCCATCTCTGCGGCAGTGCCTCGTAGCATGTCTGGTGTTTGATGTAACACCCAAATACTTAGCCTACCACGATGAGAGCAAATCAATATTGAATTGCGTCTCCATTTTGTCTTCTTCTCCATACAAACACAACATGTCCGACCACTCCCTCAGATGAGACATTCAGATCCCTAACATCAACATTTTTAGTTGTTGAACACATGAATGGATATTTTTGTGATTTATTTGTATTTATTTATTCAGCAATATTTCAAGCCACCCTTTAGAAGTGCTTCATCATAAACATTTAAAAAGTAGAAACTTGCTTAGGCTTTAGGTGATAGAATATCTGCACTGCAAATCCACTGTTATCCACATTTGTGTTGGTTCTAGTGGGAACTAGAAGCTCCCAAAAAAGCTACATGACATTAACTTAACATCTTGTGGCCTTGGTTGTGGAAGTATTGGGTCACTGAACGATAGCAAGTTATTTAGTGATATAGCCACTGTTTTATTCGAGCACATGAGTGGTATTGGTTTTAGTCGTGTAGTCATCTCATTGCACAGACCATTCTTGGTTATGTGTCATCCAGTGAGAAGGAAGTGAAACTGACAAATAAACCTCTTTCGTTCTCTGCAACAATAGACTTTAATGTTGGTCATATGGTATCAGGTTCTGCTATTGTATTTCCAGTCAAAAGACAATACTGCACAGGCTCTTTGAGTTTCTATCCAATAGCTAAAGCAAGGTGTGTAGGAGTGTGAGTCTTTCTTCCAGGCTGGTTTCACACAGTGTGCCAGAAACTGGTAAATCTCTCCCGCCAATAGTCCTCATTTTGTTCTCTTCACCTTTGCTTTACACCTACTTTCCCTCCGTCGTCTGTCTTTGAGTGGGCGGCTCAATGCGGCGTAGTCTGCTGCACCCTGTAAGGTTCTGATTAGATCGCTCTGTCTCTCCTCTCTTATTCACTTTCTGCCTCGCAAATCAGGCTGGCAGACTTTTTGTTTCTGTGCTTTCACTCACATTACCAACGGAACTGTATAAAGCACAGAGTGAAATCATTGCTAAAATATATAATACATATTCTAGAGCACTAATGATAACATGGAATGTGTATTCCTCATGGCCCATAACACCGATTTTCAAATAGCTTAATCGGACAGTGACACCTCACACAGCTCCAACACACTTCAGACTCGGCAGCAGCAGACAGGTATACAGTTTAACAGCCTGTATGTCTGTGAGGCATATATTGCTGTGTTCATTAGCTTGAGTGTTATATGATGTGGGGTTGTGTGTTAAATGTTAGACCACTTGCACAGTTGTTGGTCTTAAGGCCTTCAAAATGCAGTAATAAGTTCTTCAAAGCAGGTACGTGACGTGTGCACCTGCTCACACGCACAGTATCACATTTTGATTCAGAATTTGTAATTGTCTTTATCATGTCTACTAGTGCTGGGCGGAAACGATTATTTTGAAAACGATTAATCGGGCGATTATTTGATCGATTAGTCGACTAATCGGACGATTCTTTTTCTGTTGTTCAATTCATAAAAAACGTTTAAAAAAAAAATGTCACGATATTGTGTCACAGGGGATCTTAATATTTAAGAACCTATTAATGTGTTATACCAGATTAACGGAAATAATCTCAGCTAACTGACGATACAAACCATGTTTACCAAAACAAAACACAAGTCTCATAAGAAGCAAACTAAAATGCTATCTAAATGACCCCTGAGTAAAAAATGCTAACGGACATTGGCACAGAACTCAAGATAAAAGTACCCTTATTACTTATCGTAGCTGCACATACAAGATATCCGATTAAAGCTGAGACTCCACAGATTATGTAGGTACATAGTATCATCACTGAGTGATCCGGACTCGCGACAGGGGAAGCAAATACAGTCATCACAACACGTACCTTCACAGAGCTTCTAGGGAGATCGTCTCACCGCCGTAGCTGTCAATCTGATCAAAATACGTGTTCAATGGCATTCAAATGAGAAAAAACGCGGCTGAATCGGTTAATCCATAGGTTTTTAACGTCTATGTATACAAAAATTATTGAATTTATAATCCATAATTCCATTTTAAATCGGAGAGCAAATGCTAGCTGCTAATGGTTGCCACCACAGCTAGCTGCTGCTTCCGGTCAAGCAGCAGTCTCAGTGAGATATAAATATATAAATATCTTTGCGTTTTGGACTAACTTTAAAATATTCCCATGCTTTTGAAGACCTGGGGCGAGATGTTTTCGTTTGGGGGCTTCGTGCGCAATCCTGTGAGGAGGAGTTGGTAGCCGTTTCAGTCTCCATTGTGTTAGAAGTGCGATTGCGAACTGCTTGTTGCTTTGGGTGACCCACGTGTGTGTGGCGACCATATATACAGTCTATGGTGGCGACGCGTCGACGCGGAAATATGTCGTCGACGATATTTTGAAGTCGTCGACGCGTCGCTACAGCACTAATGTCTACACACATTGTTTTCTTCATCTTTGCCCTCTTCTCTTACTCCCTTTCCCACTAATAGTTGGGCATCGCCACTCATGCTATACTTACTAACCTTCTGTTGTTGTTCAACTTTAGCGCACTATACCAATCTCTCTTGTGCATAAATCGTGGAACTGTATTCCTGTGACGCCGACGTAGGCCTCCTTTCTGACAGGTTTGCAGACAATTTCAGGCATTGTAATGTTCTTTTTCTCCTGTTACCTCTCAAGTCAAATCAATTTACACACACTCCAGCTGCTGTTAGAGAGCGCCTCAGACACATTCAAGTGACCTTCTCCAGTTAGTCTGCCAAGCATTAAATCCCACCATGATTCGAGAGCGGACGATACAGTGTGGAAATACCCTGTCATTCTTCTGCGTTGAATTTGTCAGCAGGCCCAGTAGTCTTGAATCTGTGTTCATATCAGGTCTAGTCGAGCATCGTGTCCTCTGAAGTGTTAGTGTGACCGACTGGAAGATAGACATCTGATTCAGCTGGCAGGGGGTTCCTCTCTGCCAGCTGACGCCTCTCTACAGTATAGCTCTGTCCTGCTGCAGAGGGTCATTTTCTCAACACACTGACTGTTTTCTTCTGACCCCCCACCCCTCAACCCCGTTTCTCCTTTTTGTCTTCCTCTTCCAGGCCAAGTCGTGCATCTGTCACATGTGTGGTGCCCACCTGAACCGACTCCACTCTTGTCTCTACTGCGTTTTCTTCGGCTGTTTTACGAAGAAACACATCCACGAGCACGCAAAAAACAAGAGACACAATCTAGGTAAGAGACACACACACACACACACACACACTCTCCTTTTTAAAGGGTTTTATATCTATAACAAATCTGAATTGCTGTGTAGTATGAATTCAAATACAATTATGACCATAATTATTTTTTAATCTGAACAAATGGCTCACAATAGAGCTAAAAGTATGGTCGATAACATTATACTGACCCTCCCTACGACGTCCAAGGCTCAGTCTCATTACCTCATTCCTCATATTCACATGCACTCCTGTGGCCCACTGCAGCATCAGCTATTACCAGCAAAGGATTACAGCATTACTTTGAGAGACTTCCTCCTCCTCAGACAGACAGGGAGCTGAACCTCACTTTAACTGCAGCACATTACCATTCTGGTGGGAGTGCCTTAGCCAGTCAAATGTCATGGGTTGAAGTTCCTACTCTCCCTTTCATACAGCAGTAAGGGAGGAGCAGACATGGCTAATCCACAGCTACCAGAAAGCCTATTTTCAACCTTACATGCTAATTATGCAAAAGACGATAATGATACTAGCGAGCAAGATTTTAATATTACACCAGTGAGGGCGTCTAAAAATGGCAACCAGGGAGACGGTAGGCGTTCGTGGTAGCTGTCTGAATGGCCTTAATTGATTTAATGCATTTAAACAGTTTGGTCACACACACACCCACACACACACACACACACACACACACACACACACACACACACACACACACACACACACACACACACACACACACACACACACTCAGTCTTAATTACCTGAGCTTTCCACTGGAGCCTCTCTGACAGTGGCGCTCTGTTCCTCTCCACCTCTAATCAAATTAACCAAGCTCCCTGTCTGCGAGATGGCAAGCTGCCCTCTCAGGACTCCTTTTCACATCTTTTTAACTTATGAGTTCATTAGAATGTGCAGAGGTGTCCATGATGCCCACCTTTCTTTAACTCCGGATGAATGCCTGTGTGTTTGTCAGTGATCCCGGGAGATAGCAGAAAGAACAGGTTGGGGAGGAACAGACATTACATTACATGTCATTTGTTAGACGCTTTTATCCAAAGCGACTTACATACATTCAAATGTACTGTGGAGAATCCCCACAGGAGCAATTTGGGGTGAAGTGTGTTGCCCAGGGACACAACGACATGCTGACTGCAGTGGGGCTCGAACTTGCTATCCTCTGATTCCAAGTCCGGGACACTATCCACTAGGGCTGCTCGATTATGGCAAAAATCATAATCTGGATTATTTGGGTCAATAATTGATATCACGATTATTAAAAACAATTATCCATTTACTTTGAAAACATCCATTTATTGGGAAAAAATGTGAAGAGTATGTTTTTAACAGTTGATTACCCTGAACTTTAAGTATAATTCAACTGAAAAACCAATACAAAAAATTAATAATTTAAAATAAATAATCGTTTTGTTGTTTTCATAACCGTTGCAAGCCAACATCGTAATTGCGATTAAAATATGATTAATTGAGCAGCCCTACTATCCACTGAGCCACAGCCTCCCTATGGGGAGATTGTACTGTTGGTTACAACTACTAAAATGGGTTGCCAAACATGCTTATGCAGTATCAAAATAACCTGGGTGGCCCACTGAGTCTATGCGTGGGAAACGCTGCTTCTTCTCCTTTCACCTACCAGTCTTTGGATTCTTCGCTCAAATCAGTACCATTTATGAATTCCTGCCTGTATCTTGTTCAGCACTCAATCGACTTCTTCCTCTTGTGGCCATGTCAGAGTTTTGTCAACTAATCGTTACCAATGATGCCGTGTTTTACAAGAGAAAAGAAAGATGAGATGGAAAGATGGTTATGTTTTTCAAATACATTTTTTGTTTTACTGTATGATTTATTTGTTTGCATGTTTGCTTAAACACACAAAACAAGTCCCTGGGACAATGATATAACAAACACCAGTCAGGTTTTCTACATGATGTGTTGGCTTTGTCAGTGGGTGGCACCAAAAACAGAAAAATGTCCAGTTAAGCTAAAAATAGGTTGTCACGGCAACAGAGCTGAGGTATTGCTGCCGTGGAGGTTGAAAATGGAACGGGATGGTGTTAGTTGAACGCCCAGGTGGGGGTGGCAGACAACTACACCTATTCCATCACTACTCCACTCATATCTGTTCATTGCCCAGTGCAAGCAATGAGATGGAATGCAGTGCGGAGAAACGCTTGTCTTGAGGCTGGCTGCACCAGCGAGGTTGAACAATAAAATAAAACCCAATGTGTGTTACTGTGCTGGAAAAATCTATTTGTAATTATGGTGCAATCTCTCTTTCGTCCCCTCTCTCTCCCTCTTCCCTTCTTCCAGCGATAGACTTATTATACGGTGGAATATATTGTTTTGTGTGTCAAGACTACATATACGACAAAGACATGGAGCAGATTGCCAAAGAGGAACAGAGGAAAGCCTGGAAATTGCAAGGTAGAGCATTGTGTTTTCTCTCAGATATCATCTTTTCTAACAAGTTTATATCGTGCCGTCTTATTGGTGTTTCTTTGTATCCACAGGCATAGGGGAGAAATACACAACATGGGAGCCGACCAAGAGGGAGCTAGAATTGTTACGACACAATCCAAAGCGGAGGAAAATCACTACAAACTGTACCATAGGTAAGCACTAGACGGCACAGACTCCTCTCTAGACAGTGTGTGGGATCCTTTAGAGCTGGGTGTTATCTTCATGTGCCTATGGAGCAAGTGTGCTCGGGGTCACTCTTGCATTAAAGTGTGATACCCAAGGTCGACAGGATCCAACAGCATCACAGTGTTCCCTCTGACACTGTAGAGGCACCCCTCAATCTGTTTCTCCACTGAACATGTTTTCTTCCTGCCAATTCTGTCTCTGATAAAGTACATGAGCTTTTGGTTCTTTCCCCCCTGCCATCCTTCAACCCCTTCTATCTCCAAAGAGCTTGGTTGGTAGCCCAGACTGTGTGTGTGTGTGTGTGTGTGTGTGTGTGTGTGTGTGTGTGTGTGTGTGTGTGTGTGTGTGTGCACTCCAGGACCCGTCTGAGTCAATAAACCTCTCACTGAGCGCTCTCTTCCAGAACCAAACCACGCTCAATTGGATTAAGCCCAAAACCTGGCTGTGTCTCACCTGTTCTATTGGCTATCACTGGAAAATCGTAGCTTTTCATTTCTCACTCTAAATGAATCCATTAACAGCTCTGGAGTCAGCTCTAGGATACACACGGTTTTGCTGGCAGACCTGACCCAACACCTTGATAAGAAAACAAATATTCACAAACATATTTTAATATTTACACTTTTATGTGTAATAAATATTCAGGCAGATGTGGGTGCTATATTTATGGTTCAATATAGGCCCTTAACAAATATTTACATTGTCCATGAAGTTGCCAGTTAATTCTAAGAATAATTAATTTAATGATATCCGGAAGAAGTAAATAATTTAAAAGTATTAAAGATGTCCATTTTAATTTCCGTAAATCCACGGTGACGCAGTGAGATGCTTCTTTTTCTGATGTATAACAAAACCAAAATAGATTTGGTCCAAAAGTCAAAGAAAAATGGCTATTACTCAAAAAAATAAATGAAAATTTCAATACATAGATGTGGTTCTTATGGCTACTAATTCAGTTTTGCTTACTAATAAAACTGGCCACAGATAACACGTGGTCAAATCAGGGATCAGGTCATTATTTGGGATTCAAGTTCCCTTGTTTCGCAGCATTAGGAATCAGAAGAAGCACAGTCATGTTTAACCTTCAATGCCATGTTGTGCTTACACTTGTCTTTGTCTCTCCTTGTCCTGCAGGTTTACGAGGGTTAATAAACCTGGGCAACACGTGTTTCATGAACTGCATTGTTCAGGCTCTCACACACACGCCGCTGCTGCGAGACTTCTTTCTCTCCGACAGACACAAGTGCGAGATGCAATCAAACTCCTGTCTGGTGTGTGAGATGTCGCAGCTCTTTCAAGAGGTATGATCCACAGTTAGTGTTTGAACTTGTTCACATAGATTTGCTCGATCCCACATAGAAAAGGATGACTTTGGTCCAAACTGAGGTACAATTTTAGGTCTTTTTTCAAACCATGTGGTGCCTTCTCTCGCATTGCAGCAGGCTGAGTCACTGTTGAGCTCTTCTGTCGAGTCCAAAGAGAGAGGCAGGGAGAGGAGAGAAGAATCCTCCCTGAGAGGAATGAACAGGGCCTCATGCAAATGAATAAGCAGAATTATACTTGTATCTAACCTGGTTAGTACATACAAATGACTGTATGTACTAACCTGGTTAGTACATGCAAATGACTGTATGTTGCACAGCTGTTTATAGCCTCTTAAGCCTATCTCTTTAATACAAAAGTTTCACATCTAACAAACTCATCGGCCCTGGACGTTATGTAATATCTGCCTGCTCTGCTCCCACACGGCCTCGATTTTTTTTTTCTTACACCCTCTCACTTCCCAGTATATATGGGCCTACAGATGGCAAGTGGTGCTATAATGAGTTTAGTCATCGCCGACCAATCAACACAACACACACATACAATATATAACACATGAAGGAGGTAATCGCTCACCTCTATCTCGCAGAGGCAGACGGTGATTGAGGATTCCAGCTGTGTGTGAGACAGAACACTCAGGGTCACCCATACAAGAAACACTAATCCATTCAAACACTCTGTCCCACACATATTATCACTCAAGTCTTCCTAGTAGACTTCCATCCCCCAACTTCATTCCTTTTTTTAACCAGCCCAATGTCGTCATCAGATGCCGTCTTTTGACTCTGCACACACACACACACTTACACACACACACACACACACAGAGCTTTATATATTTGAAGGTAAGAGACGCGGCCCGCTTTGATCAGCCCCTCTCCTCCCCCCGCACAGTTACCCCCTCTTCTCGTAGCGTCTTTACTTTGTCAAGCTACCTTCAAACTGCTGGAAAGAAGCAGCGTTTGTAAGATTCAAAATAGATGTCAGTGCAGCTTGTTTTCTCTGAGCAGCTCAAACATATTTCAGAGAGAGCTGTGTAGAATAAAGCAAAACTGTTTGCAACATCACCACATTGAGAAATGAGAGCCCTCTCTGGCATTAATGAGCTCTGGTTGGAACTTCATTGCGGTGTTGAACCTTGCTCCATACGATCACGTTGTTCAACCATGTCTTTGTGTACTGTGTTTTATGATCAGATGGACCTTTATTGATCCATGTAGGGAAATGCAGGTGTTACAGCAGCAACCGAAGAGAGAAACACAGACATGGTTAATAAAGATAAAACAAATTGCATACTGTATATACATATATCACACACCTCTCGTCTCGAGCTGGCATTACAGCTTTTGTCGTTAGGTGATGTGTGTTGGAATGAATTCATGTTTCTGAAGATGCCTGTAGAAAGCAGCAGCTGAGAGAGACAAGATCACCTCTTACTGACGGAACGTTTGCTACGGTTCAGCAATGGATTATAGATGACCAGTGAGCATGGTGGCAATGAGCCTGTCACAGAGGTGATCAAATATGTCGGACCTAAGAACACCTGGAAAACTAGGCTAACCACCCTCTCCTCTTCACCCCCATCTCTCTTCCCCGCTCTCAGTTCTACTCGGGCCACCGTTCACCCCACATTCCCTTCCGGCTGCTGCACCTGGTGTGGACTCATGCACGTCACCTCGCAGGATACGAGCAACAAGACGCCCACGAGTTCCTCATCGCAGCTCTGGATGTTCTACACCGGCACTGCAAAGGGGACACCATCAGTAAGCCATATAACCAATCAATGTCTTAAAATAAAAAATAAACACCAATGTGTTCCCTTTAAATTCAGCGAGATTCAAAGGTTTACCCTAGATTTGTTTTCAGGTGCTTTTATTATTATTATTATTATACATCAGCCAGGATTGCAGCTTTCTCAAGTCAGACTGAATAGAAAACGCAGCGATCAGTGTCGGTGACATTGAGTGTGTGGGCCACCTACTGCCTCTGATCCGCCATGGGTAGTTGTACTTTAGATCGACCAACAGAGCATACTGCCTGACTTCACTGGAAGCATACTGAAGGAGATAGGCAATCTTGTATACCAAGGGGAAAGGAAGCAAGCAGTGTGAGGAATGTCAATAGGACCTGCTGCAGTGCATTGACAGGCTGACTCACACTCAGACCCTGCAGAGAGGCTTCCATTAGCTACGACACAGAGAGTTGTGAAGTGGCTGCAGGGGAAACGTAAAGTGAGAAAGAGCGGCAGACAGAGCGCTTTAGAGGTGCTAAACAGGTCGAAGGTGTTATCTGTTCGTCTATTTATACTTTCTGCTCTTCACAGGAGATGACAATGGGAAGAAGGCCAACAATCCAAACCACTGCAACTGCATCATTGACCAAATCTTCACTGGGGGCCTGCAATCAGATGTTACCTGTCAAGTGTGCCAGTAAGTTTGTTGTTTGTTTTCAATTTAAAAATGATAAAGAAGCTATTTCTCAAAATGAAGTCCCACTTGAAAGCCTTTCTCTCCATTCATCTTGAGGGAGCACCCCCCTTCTTTTCTATACACACATCCATCATCTATCTGTCTCCTCTCTCCGCTAGGCTGATCGATGTGGACACCACCTGTCCTCTCAGAGTTGGTCAACCACTGGTTGTGTCCTCTCCACTGCTAATGTTTAAAGGCCCAGTCCCTGCAGAGATGCTGTGGGGGGGGGGGGGGGGGGGTTGTCTAGACATCAGCACAACTGAAGCGTTGCCTGCCCCCTAGAGCTGTCCTGTCACATTAACACTCGCGCGCTGCACTGAACTGCAAAGCACCTCGTCCAGGCTAGCGGGCAAGCCCAGCAAAGTGCAATGTTACCTGTGAAGAGAGTCCTCTGAAGCTGTCTCCAGCATCACTCTGCCATAAACTGAACCCCCCTGTAATGGTTAGATACATCTTCTGTAGACTATAGATTAAGGAAATGCATCCCCCAAAGCTTTATTTTGGCAACAGAAATGGTACCATAATGGTTCCATATTGCTGCAGGGTTGCTCTCATTCATCATTAATGCATGCACACTTGCCTTAGAAGCCACCTACCGGCACCACTTGGTGTAACATCACCATCTAATCAACAGCAGTAATTTGCGGCAGCCTCTGCGCATATTTGTGTGTAATGCATGCATTCTTCACTGAAGCCTCCATTTTGCCCCGGCTGCAGACCATCACTCAACGGTATTGGGTTGTAAAATACAAATCCCAAGCTAATATTCTCTGAGTGGGGAATATTATTCACATCATGCACCCATTCATTGTTCGCTGTTCAAGCAGGCTTTAAACCAAAACATGATCAGTGTCTACAGAGGCTGTGAATCTAAGCTTGGGCATTGCCATCTGTGTCATCATCCTTTCATCATGACCTGTAATAGATGACACACAACCGCACACTATTTATTCAAACTCATAATCAATCCCTCTTTTCTTTTGTTCCTCTTAGTGGGGTTTCCACGACGATAGATCCATTCTGGGACATCAGCCTGGACCTTCCTGGCTCTTCCACACCTTTCTGGCCCCTCAGCCCTGGAGGGGATGGCGGCACAGTGAATGGAGAGAGCCACCTGTCAGGGGCCACCACCCTCACAGACTGCCTGCGCAGGTACGGATCAGCTGACACCTGACAGTTTTATCTTTTGCCAGTGTGGTTTCCTTTTTTGTATCTATCTAAACTGAACTAAAATCCCCATCTCCTGGGTTGTAGAATACACTTGGCGCCAAATCATAAGCGCTTCTTGCCAAAAAACACAATAACATGATGCTATTAAAACGTTGTTAGTTTCAAAATAAATGATGTCATGACATTTGGAAAAGGAAGTACTTTTCTTTCAATAGGCGTATTTTCCTGTATCCTTCTGCCACCTCTCCAGATTGATGGGTTTCAATCGTCTCCACTTAAAAACAAATCTCATCATCCCCTCGCTTGTATGAGAGGTCACGTATTGCGTCTGCTCAGCCACGACAAACCTGTTATCCCTGGATCTCATCTTCTCCACACTCACCAGGTTTGCAGAGCAGATGTGACCTCTCATATCTCCTCTACTGCCTCTTCATTCTTGCAATTTCTTTCCCTCCTCTCCTTATCTTATTTCCCTCCCTCCCCTCTCCATATAACGCTTTCCCCCCGTGCCCTCACTCTCTACCTCTCGTATTCGTCTCATCCTCCCCCTCTTTCTCTCGCCTCCTTTCCTTCTGACTTTTTTTTTTTTTTTACTGCAGCACCTTACACACCCCTAGTTGCTGCAGCAAGTCTCTTAAAGGTACAGAACTGGTTGGTGTTGTTGCCGTGGTGATGGAGGCGTTGGCATTACCAGCATGGCTCTGGGTTGGTCTGACTTACAGAGAGGCTGCATAAACACTCTCCATGCAGACAAGCCCTCGTACAGCTTCAGATCAACTTCAGATCTGTAGGACTTGGTTTAGCGGGGTGCAAAGGCGAGATCAAAAGGGTTTATGTAACACAACTAAATAATATAGAAGTTTTCACTTCCTGTCTCTCGTTTGCCCACATTTTGTCTTCTCTTTAACACCCTCTCCTCTTGTTTTTTTTTCCTTCTTCTCGCTCCGACCCTCCCTCTGCAGGTTTACGCGGCCCGAGCATCTAGGAAGCAGTGCCAAAATCAAGTGCGGCGGTTGCCATAGTTACCAGGAGTCCACCAAACAGCTGACGATGAAGAAGCTCCCCATCGTAGCGTGTTTCCATCTCAAAGTGAGTCGGCCGGTGACAACGTGCTGCCAATTATCTCCTGTTACATTATCTGTCTGAGAAATGTAATTATTTTAGGGTACGGGAAGCTTTTATCGTTCACACATCTTATTTAGTTGTTAGTCCAAAGACACTCCGAAAACAATCATCCAAATGCAGATGCGTTTTTAAATGATTTCTTGACGGTTTTGATATTTCTACATCCCTATATATACGTGATTCATTTTGCCCTGTGTGTATGCAGCCTTACATCCGATGCATAAGATGTGTGTGATGTTGCTTGTGCGTAGGTGTGTTGATAATCTCATTCAGTTGTTGGTGCATTACCTCCATCCCTTTCACGCGTTGTCCCAGGACACCAATGACTTCAATGACTTGTCCAGCCTTCCACTGGCCATGTTTTATTTATCATACCAGTATTGGGGGGGAAGGTCTATAACGTATTTATGATATTCATGGCACCAGGCTTCCAAGGAAATTGTCTTGAGCTCAATCCTGTTATTATATTGGTGTGAATGCGCAAACGAGAGGCACACAACATGTCATTTCACTTTTCATTAGCTGCGTTGTATTTTGTATGTTGTGATTATGTCTGTTATTTCTAAATAATGTGTCCTCTCCCCTCCCCCCACTCTCTCTCTTGCCATGTTCCTGCCCCTTCCCCCTCTCTCCTCTCCTCTCTCTGGCCATCTACAGCGGTTTGAGCACTCTGCCAAACTGCGGAGGAAGATCACTACATACGTTTCCTTCCCCCTAGAGTTGGACATGACGCCCTTCATGGCATCCAGGTAAGCCCCCCACCTAGGGCCCATAGATTTCCCCCCGATAGTGAATCTGGTCTCGCCAGTCCACATCAAGGTCTTCTGTTTAGATCTAGGAGCAGCTTTTTTACGTGGTTTATCGTATGTTAATGTTTGCAGTGCATACTCTATGATACACTATACAGACTTTGCACTCACAGTAATTTAAAATATTTGCATATTGGACAAAACATCATTATTAAATGCTTCCAACAAATGTATATTGATGTCATTAAAGCATGCAGTTGCAGTATTGCCCCACCCCTGGCAGAAGCATCCATTCAGCTCTGTTCAGAGACAGGAAGATCATTAGGCTATGGCGCTGGCAGGGAATATATTGGCTTTCAAAGATAGAAGAATTCTGCCACCTAGTGGATTTTCGTGCCATTGTAACATGTTTACCAGTGCATGCAGCTTTAACAAATGCTTTTGTTTTTCTGCCTCCGACAGTAAAGAGAGCAGGATGAACGGGCAGTATCAACTGACGGTTGATGTATTAAACAACGACAATAAGTGAGTACCTTTGAACTAAGCAAACTGATATATTAACACTCTGCGGCCTCAGAGCAGTGCACACATTATAGTAGAAATGTCTCTTCCAGCACAGCAGCACATGCTAATGACCTGAAGCATCCGGCCGTGACTTCCCCAAATTAAATCAACTTGGAACCTATTAAACACTGCTTAATTTTCTTCATCCATGACAGTTACAATAGCTTTCATTTTCAAGGACATTTACGGGGAATTTAATATCTTAATACCATTGACAGGTTGCTTGTAGCGGAGACACAAAGTCGGTATTCAAGGAGATGATTGAGGCGTTTTAAATACACAGGAAAGACCTGAAAGAGCAGCAGCATGACGTTCAAGACAAATGAAGGCACCCATGTATGGGGAGGATAACGGGGCTGTATGAGAGATTTGTGCTAAAGTGATTCAAACAACAAAACAAACACATATTTACATTTTCTTTGTTTATTTGTTCTAGGTATTCCTTGTTTGCGGTGGTCAACCACCAAGGCACATTAGAGAGTGGCCACTACACCAGCTTCATCCGCCAGCACAAAGACCAGTGGTTCAAATGTGATGACGCCATAATCACCAAGGCCAGCATTAAGGATGTACTCGATAGTGAAGGGTGAGTCCAGAAACAATAACAGTACTAAGAAGTGTTATCCAGTATGAACTCTGTAACAAATCTTACTCTTTCCCCCCCCCCCCCTCTCAGGTATCTCTTATTCTACCATAAACAGTTCCTTGAGTACGAGTAGTCTTTGTGAGGACTGACCACGAAGAACCACTGCTTCTAACGAGAGAGTCAAGGGCCTGGGGACAGGATGAAACAAAAACACACAAACCTACCTGAAACTCTTTGACTACCAGTCTACTACAGAGTCCAGCTCTGGAGGGCAACACATAAAAAGACGTGTGAAATCATGCAACCTTTCAAAAGAATACAAAAAAAAAACAAGCACTGAGCTACTTCTTGGCATCTACTTGACAAAACTGAATGAAGAGGAGAGATGGAGGAGGAGGAAGAGTTCGGGCGTCGTCAGTTCCAGGCTTGGGCAGAGGGAAGAGGCCTCCCCCCACCCCCTCACCCTCTCTCCCCCCCTACCTGCTGCAGGGGGCGGTCTGAGTGTGACTGGCCGTCATCTCCATCGGGCACATCTGGATTTTTTTTCACAGTATTCTGACCCCCTTCACCACCCGCCCCCCCCACTCACGCCCTCCATTTCTCTCCCATGGTGCTCTCGTTTTCAACTGACCAAGCGTTTAACTCGATAGAAGACAGTTTGTTGTCATATGCATACAGGACTGAACGCAAAAAAAAAAAAAGTAAGAATAATAAAATCAACGTATTATGAACTTTGCAAGAACATTTCTAAAGGTATGGTTATGATTCTTATCATTTGTGAATTTTGTTATGAAATACTGTATGAATCTAGTATACATTTATTTTTTAAGAGCAAAAAAACAAAACATGGGAGGGCTTAGAGACGCTGCCTTTGCCAGTTGCTGGGGAAGTGCTGCCATGGAAACTAAGCAGATTTGGACCTGAGTGTGCTCATGTTCCATTATTTACTGTGTTGATTGTTTTATTATTAAGTCTGGTTGAGGGCGGGGAATATCTATTTTTTTTTAGCAACTCATCACATTTTTGTTTACTGTTCATTTGTGTCTTTTATTTTTTAAATTTCAGTACAGCCATGTGTCCCTCGCTGTCCTGGTACTGGAAATGTCGTTTGACGTATTATACTTTCATTCTTGTGGAATTGTTGGTATAATGATGGTGATGGTTAAATTGGCTCACCTTTTTGCTGTTTATGAATTGTATGTTGAATGTGAGCTTTGGGTTTCATGTGGCATTATGAAGAGAAGACTCCATACATGAGGTCTTATAATGTGAGAATGCTGTGGTCTCTTCTCATTGAACACCTTGGATGCTCTGCAAAAAAAAAAAAAAAAAAAAAAAAAGCCCATTTAACAACACTGCATGCGACTGGGCTCACATGATCTTATAATATGTGAAAAATGACCCTCAGTAATGCCTCAAGGCGTGCT